TATAGGATCCCTTTGGCGCCCAATTGCAACTGGTACAAAGTGCCTGCAGGGCCTCCACAAGGCTTATAATAAATTAATTACTTGCCAGCAGTATTATGCGATATATATTTGTATAATGAGTGACTGGGCACATTGTTTTGGGCTAGTGCATTAAATAAGCGATTGGGTACAGGGGTGCCCTGGGCTTTCGAAAAGGCTAATGAGTACCTGCACCCTCTGTTGGGAGAATGTGTTCCTTAATTATTACAACTTGAGTGATTCATACTGATATCGATGGTTTCCATGAAGCCAGCAGTGTTGCTTTTGTTGGGGCCTTGGGGTTGCCCTGTTTGGTTTTGAGGCCCTGAAGATTCCCCACAGAACAAGTCCTCTTTTGGATCGATATTTCCCTGGCTCAAACTTGATTAATTGTCGACGTCAATATGGCTTGAAACTAGCTAGTGTGTGGTTTCCCTAATTTATATATATATATATATATATTAATAAGCATGCCGTGTTCCTTGTTGTCGGGGGGGGGGGGTGGTGCTCGAAATATTTTGGACAAGTCCTCTAGATCTTTTTGGCCATGAGGAGTATTTCCATTGATTTCTCAAAATGGTTTCCTCAATCAGCGCATGGTTTCTGCAAGAAGTTTCCTGGTGCTGTGAGGCTCGGAGGTTACCCTGGAGCATGGTTAGCCTTGAATATGTACAAATCATGTGGGGTAGATCTTTGAATTTGGAGCAAGTTCCCAGCTAAAACTTATCCTGCAGTCTTGCGGGGTAATTGGCCTGGGGTACAATTAATGCTTCAGCTTCATGTTTGGGCTTGGTTACTCCCTTCAAACAAAAAACAACATTGGACAAAGGGCAACCCCCTCAACAAAGGGATTTAGGGAAACCACACAGATTTGAGGGGACCCCCATCGAAGTAGCTGTTGTGCACCCTCCCAAAAGACAACTGGTGTCAAGAGCCCGAGACAAATCTAGATCATTATAAATTATATGTGCGCATGCCTGCTCCTCCACCTTGCGGGTTTCGTTCATGTAGTCATCCAAGCGGATCTGGAAGTCAACCGGCGGCTTAGCCTGCCATTTCAACTATTGGGTTGGGCAAGGTGATGAATCTCGGGCACTGCCTGCTTGTTCACCCTGGCTTTCCTGAGGTTCTCCTCGGTCATGATGTTCGCCAAGAGCCAGTCCTGGCCAGGATCTCGGAGGGTGCACTCCCAATAATGATATTTAATACTTGCCGGGCTGGCATGTACTTTCTGGATGGACTCCGGTCTGCATTGCCGCGCGGCCCATCTAAAAGGTTTGCCCCCCTCTTGCGGCATTTTGCCAAAACCAAAAAAATGCTCAAACCAAGCTAAGAGCCAAGTGCATGCACACATCAGGAGAGCATGCATATGGCATGCATATACCATATCAAACATGCATGTACACAATTGCAATGTCACTGCATGCCATGCTGACTCTTGCAAAGGTGGGGCACGCTCTGCTTCTTCGTGGCGCCGCGCACCTTGCAAGGTGTGATTGGAGAAAAAAAGGCGCTGCAGCCAGCTGGCCGGTTCTTAACAAATGCTGAGCCAGCTGCGCCGATTTCGTAGCCTCTGCATCTATCAGACCCAATTGCCATGGCGCACATGGCTAGCTTGTTGGGCAGCACGTGATTATTTTGTTTATCGCATTAAATACATGTATGCACGTTCTTGTCGTTTATGCCATGCGTAAAACAGCATCGTGTCCTGATTCGAATCATGTGGAGTCACAATCAAGTTCGAGCCATTGCATCTTGCCGGGGTCGCCCACGGTTTTGCATGCTCGACCATGCAATGTAGCATCGTACCCTTCGATCAAGGAATTCACATTCATTCGAAGCTCAGGGCTGGTACTTGTCAAGAATTGTTTTCCCGTTACAGACTTGCGTAACAAGGACCTCCGTTACAGACCTCCGTAACAAGATTCGTGGTGCGTCGCGCGCTACAGACCCTCAAAAAATGATAGCCATATCTGATCATGGCAATTTCTATCATTCAGTTTGTGCCTTTTGGAATTGTTTGGCTTTGGCAGGCTTATGAGCCTCTAGCCCTTTCAGGTGTGGTGTTCCCGATGTCCTGCATCAGCCCCCTTTGATCGTTTCTATGCCCGCGTCGGTGAGACCGTGAAGCCAAGGGTGGACTACGAGGAATCTTTCCTTGCCAGACTTTTCCAACTTGGAAGGGGCCCAAGTTTTTCGCAGCGCATCCTTTTGGAGCAATCAAAAGCCAGGGCCTTTTACCACTCCCAGGGCCTATATTCTGGATCCTTGTTTGCTCGGGGGGGGGGAAGGGGGGGGAGGACACCATTCATTTTATCAAGTTATGTTTGATTTTGACTCCGGGTCACCCACCATGTGTTGCTCCATTCAGGCTGCCTTGGGCCTCTAAAAACTTGTCAAATGCGTTGGAGGAACGGTTTGCTTTGCCTTGGTCTCCACATAGTCAGCGGCCAAGGGTTTCTACCCTTCCGATCGGCCGGAAAGGAGCAAGCCTTCTTTTTGGATGGTAACGGGAAAGCCAAGAGAGATGTATTGAAACGCCCTCTAATGTTAATTGCGGATTAATCCGGAGGCCCGCTAATGTTTTATTTGGGAGTGTCTCTGATTGAGGTCATCCTCGTTATCTTCTGAATTTAATATGAGGGAAGATGTCCGTTTTGGGCAAATGCCTTCTTGTTGTTTCCAAGTATACCCTAAACAAAGCAGGTAATTGAGTAGGTGGTCCGTTGTGGTGTCCAAACGGTCTCTTTGCCGTTTGTGCGTCGCCAAGGTACAGGATGGCCTCTTGGCAACAAAATGAAGAGGCATTCGATTCGAGCTGAGCAAAGCAATCTCATGCTGTGCATAAACTGCACCAGTTGGGATGGATGACGCCTGGAATTGACCACCTGCCAGCTGGTGCAGCAATGACTGTCTATCCGCAGTACCTGAATGTTGATCGTACTTAAGAAGTAGCTTACTACGATACTTCCGGGGTCTCCTCCCATATGCGCATATTTGATGACCATATGTTGAAGTCTGACTGTATGACACATAATCTGCCAATGCTAGTTTTGTTGTACTCCGGCTTTGGCCAAGAGTGACATTGCCAGCAGCTCCAGTCCCACTTATCATACCAATCAGGAGAACGGTAATGATTCAATATCCCTGCAATGGTGATGATTCCATTTACGAGGTTTGGGTTTGGGATCATTTCTCAAACAAACCCAGAAAGATTGTTTTGAACGGAACTCGGGATTTCAAAAAAACCAGGACTGCGAATCGAAGCACGTGGCGTGTCGTTATCAGCTAGGCACATGTTGAGGTACCCCCAAGGTACGTAGCTGCTTACGCATTTCATACAATGGCCTTCCCAGTTGCCGCGGCACCCAGGTACAGTAAGGCTGCTATGGAAGATTTCGAAATGGTGGGAGGTACCTGGAGTTTCCGTGCAAACAAGCCGATGGTGTTTGGAAATCAGTGCAGGGCAGACCAGATGTGCAATGTTATATGGGTGATAGTTTTGGATTCCCTCTTTTCTTGGAGTGTACTCTTTCGCTTCGCTTGAAAGAGAAACCCACAGGAAAAACACATTTTTTGTTTTTTTTGGGGGGGTCCCCTATTTTGATGCATGCCCATCTTATTGCATTTTGACTGCTCTGTCTAAGGAGGGTCAACGGAGAAGGACGAGTACATCGCCGCTGTCTTAGCGTCAGAAGACCAATCATATGATTCAAATCACCCTCCGCCCTCACTTAGCTCCCCCTGGTTTATTGAAAACAAGACCCTGATTCACAGCTTCAAAGGCATTGCAGAAGCACTGCCGGAAGATGGAGTGCTGGAATTTGTTTCCCTAAAGTCGAGCGAGTTGCGATTGTGCTATCCTGGGACTGACTTGGGCAAACATGCCCTTGTCGCAGGCCTCTTTGTCAACTTGGGCCACTCCGGCTCTTTTCCACCGCTCACAGGTGTGAGGGTGTTCTTCATGCAATATTGGGTTACACAACCCAAGCTCGGTACGTCGTTACTCCTCGAAAAGGTGTTTTCAACACATGTAGGCTATGTTACACAGGTTCTACGACAAATATTATTTCGTTCACAAAGAATCGCCTATCTGTGTTTGGTTGGGTTGGTACTTTCTTGTTCCCTGCGAAGCAAGTGAAGAAAAGGGTTGACTCGTTTTCGATGTTTTTCTACTTCTTTCAATCATGCTTCTCAAACAATCATCCCGTCCCCCCTGTGTTTGGTGCTTTTTTTCGGAAACATGTTTCAACAATTGCACTTTTCGACAATAGCCCTGTCCCCTTGTTGGTTGTGTTGTTTTCTTGAAAGATGCGGTTCCCTGGAATATGGATGTCACCTGAACCACAATCAACACCCCGATAGACGAAGGTATATGAAGGTTAGCAGAGTATAGTCTCAACCAGAAGTTTGCAAGGAACATCACGACATTCCATAGGAAGTTGTTTCTTGAGTCAAACACAAGGACCTGTCATTTGGGCGTTGGCTAAAATTGCAAACATCCCTTGTTAGACGTGGTTTGTTCAACAAGAAGACCACCTGGAGGAGTGTTCCCAATTTTACTTGCACACATTTGTTTGTATGATATATTTGTTAAAGTCGCCGTTGGAGTTCCCATGTCCAAGCCGCACAGCTCCCAGCTGAGGTCCTTGGGTTTGTGTCAAAACTAGGATTTGGACCGGGACCAAAAACTTAACAAAATGAGCCACACCCAGATGGAGCCCTGGTGAACATGAAACGCCAGAAACTGCCTAGGCTAACCCTGGTGTTTCTTGTCCGACCTGTTGGGACCCAGAAAGGGCATGTCGCTAAACATCGTTTAGCCCCATGGCATCTTTCCTTTTAGTTCGGCGACACTTACTGGGTGCAAAAATCCCATTGAGAGTGTGTAGTCGTTCAAATTGTCTCCCCCCCCAAACTTTACACCCATCATATAAGCACTTGAGCCTAACCGAGGGCCCGGCCGTTTCGCCGAGGCGTCTATGTGCCCCATCGACTTCCGTCCCTTCAAAGGGGAGCCTTTGGTCGATGAAGCGCTCACTATGTTGCTGGCCGGCCAGGCGACGGCTCCCAGGGACACTATTGGGGTTGGGTTTCCAAAATGAGTGTATACTAGACGGAATATTAAAATATGGGCATTTCATAGTTGCCTTTGGTACCATACTTTGAATGATATGTTGTTTTGGAGGACATGGACCAAAAACATGGGTGGGCGCGGGGGATTGTTTATCTCCGTGGAACCTGCAGGACCTCCCAGTAGACCCCCCCCCCCCCCGCTGGGGGGATGTGAAGGATTTGGCCCAACATGTGCGCTTTCCTGTTGTTGTCCCTTGAAGCCCACCAAAGGAGAGTTCCCGAACAGAAAGGCACATCCATTTAGTGATTATATGCTTGGGTCTCGCGACCTTGCAAAGGGTTCTGGTTTGCGAACTTCTTGGGCCTCCTGCATGTCAAAACCTCTGTTCCATTTTCGCAGTTGTATGGAACATGGAAACCAAGACAAACTATGGCCACATTTTTTGTTGCCCATGTTGCCCGACTTGGAGACAACCCATATGGCGTTCAAAAGCAATCTCCCTGAACCGGTGCAATGTTGGGTGGGAAATGACCCTTGACTGACCGTTTGAGCGCCTCTCAAGCCGTCCACCGTTGCCAGGCAACGGCTTTAATGAAAGTTCTTCGCTAGGGCTTCACGGCTCCCACTCCTGAATGATTTTTAGTAGAGAACCTGCAGGAACTGTGGTTGATGTCCTGGTGGTAGAATACCATGGTTTGCGGCAGTCCAAACTTATTTCAGCAGCGCCCAAAACGTTTAGAACCATGTAACACCAAAAGTCAACGGCTGAAACAGGTGCTGCGCACAGGCATTTGTATGTCCCCTTGCAGGGAAACTATACTGAAACTTGTTCCATTTGGAAACAAGGGCCCGAAGCCTCACAAAACCAAATCGGCAGCCCATTCGTGTGATCGCCCGTGCATCTCTTATGCCAGAGGGATTTTGCTTATCCGCCTCTCCACTTGAGTGTTTCCGTGGGCGACCGCAACTAGCCTTGTCTTTTAGAAATGAGCAAATGAGCAGCGCCATTTTAGTAGGTGCCTTCACTAAGTTTAGTTGGGGTCATATCAAAGCCTGTACAAACTGCAAAACCTTGTTGGTAGACTCAAAATTCAATGGGTGAAACGCGCGCTGCTTAAATGAAATGGTCTCGGCTTCCCAGCCAGATACAGCAGCGGGTTGCTTTCCTTTTTCAGCTTTTTTTACCGGGGTTTCCCTAAATCAACCAACACAAAAGAGCCGCTGGGCTGAGAGCTAAATAGCTATCCCGAAAAAGGCTGTCTGTCTCCATGGCAACCAGTCTGGGCCTATAAATGTTCTTTGGCTTCCCTTGAAAGACCGCGCGACAGCAGATCCCTCATTCAGGAAGGAAGCGCCCTCAGCCACAGTTGGAAACACCTCCAATGTGCTGCGAGTCCAGACGTTGGAGGTCGCCAAACTTCAAGAGCAAGTTCAGCAAAGAGAGCAGATGTTTGCAACTTGGAATGCATACATATCTACGTGGCATGCATCATGAAGATGTACAGCCCATGGCCGTAGTCAGAATTGTAGTGACATTGTCATCATTTGCTGTTGAAAAACTGGCGGCTTGATATCCAGCAACAGGTCAGTGCTTTGTTTTTGTGTGCCCCACTGATTTTCCACTACGGTCTCACCCCCTGCCCCGTTTGTGATGTGTGTGTGTATGTGACTTTGGTTTGCGCACCTTAGCAGCAGCTTGGAGGTAGCAACACAGCAGCATCGGGCATCTGGGAAGGAGGTTAGTGCTTCTGCCAAGTTGCAATAGAACTGCATTCTTCAACCTTTCAAACTCATTGGGCTACTAGCCCATCCAAGTCGTCATCCCTTGGGAGGCTGCTTGCACAGGGAGGCTACCTGAACAGGGAGCCAACCTGAGTCATCAACCACGTAGCTGGGTCTCAGTAGAAAACATAATATATACTTCAGGGTTGGCCGACACCAAATCAGAAGAACACATACTTCTGGTTGCCCTAGGGTTGAGCCAAGGTAGGCGCGTTGGGGGTCCCTGAAACGTCAGGGGATGACTTTCCTCTCGAGTGATGTTTAAACATCGGGAGCTCCAAGTGAGCGACCCAGTCTTCAAGTTTTCTTAAGATAAGAAATAAGTAGTTGAATCTCTAAATCCTTTGCTCCAACTCCAGTCGAATCATTTTCGTGGTTCAAGAAAAGGTGCCGCGGCGGTTGGCCGAGCCTCCCAGCCGCAAGAAGGAAGACTTCCTCAAGCAGAAGGCGGGGAGAAAATTGTGCCCAAAGGGAAGCCCCAAAGCGGGTCAGGCGTGCCCGTGTTTCTTTGGAGATGCTTTTGTTTTAACCAAGAAGAGGGTTCCAAGTTCCACGAACCATTTTCGTACCAAGTGTTGGTTCTGGCTCAAGTAAGCCCATTGTAGCAGGTCCTTAGTAGGTAGCTCGGTGTCCACATTTCTTTCGGTTTCCCTGTTGCCACAGGGAAGTGGAATCACTGATCCACTTCCAGCATGAACCCCAAGGGGTTCGAGGAAGTGTTCCAGCCGCATGAAACAAGGACCAAGACAACACACAAAAGATAGAACTTGGGACTCAGTTTGAGTTTGGATCAGTGGGGGGTTCTGCCGCTGTGCTGACGACTTGGGGGGGCAGTATTGGCCTCAAAAAAGTTCAATAAACTTGGAGATGGACTCCCAAATTGGCACTGGTTTCCGTTTCGATGTTTAGCAGACCTCCTTGGCCGAAGACCTGTTTTTTTCAGATTGAAATCGTGTCTTGTTCAACAGTGGCCAACACACAGCAATGGATTTGTATTGTGGGACGCTGTCGGTGTTGTTTTTTGCTGTTTTTGTTGCTGTTTGTTGTGTTTGTCGCCGTTGTGCTTTTCTAAGAAACTATTGACCCCGCTGGATATTCGTAAAGTTCAGTTCCGAAGACTCCCCACACGAGGAATGGTCTATGCCGCCCAGAGGGTCGGCTGAGTACCCTCAGACCAGAGGGGGTCCTGTAGACCTCGCTTGAGCTGGTACTCTTTGAGCTTGTGACGCACTTGCGCTGCTCATTCCACTTATGTGAGCATGAATGGGACGGCGTTTGGTCAACATACTGACATAGAGCCGCGAAGCCGGTGGTCGGAAGTTTCTAAAGCAGAGAAACTTCAGTTATCTTGTTCGTTCCTGTACTATGTGTGTGTTTCTCTTCTTCCTCTTCTGCTTTATGTCATTCTTTGTGTTCACTGTTTCTGTTATGTCCATGCTTATTGTTTTATTGATGGTTGTGGTTAGTGTTTCATTGTTATTATTAACTTTTTTAATATTAGCATTACTATTATTATTACTATTATGTATTTATGTGTTATTTCTTTATGTACTTCTTTCTTTCTGTCTGTCTTTATTTCATGATTTGCTTCTTCATGTGTGACTGTCGTTCTGTCAGTATTTATCCGTTTATTTGCATGTCGATTTGTCTACCGATCTATCCAGCGATCTATCTATCTAACGATTTGTTTATATAGCTATCTATCTCACTATCGTGCTATTGCCCAGCCATATATATATATATATATATCGATATCGATCTCTCTATCTATCGATATCTTGTATATCTATGTCTCCCTTTGTGTATCTCTGTATTATCTGTTTGTCTGTCTGTCTGTCTGTCTGTCTGTCTGTCCATCTATCTGTCTATCTATTTATCTAGCGATCTACTTATCTATCTATCTCATCTCTATCTATCCTGCTCATTACCTACCTACCTATCTATCTAGTATATCCATCCTCTGTCCATCTATCTATCTAGTCCTCTGTCTACCTATCTCTTTCACGCACTTCGATATCTATTTTATGTATATACCTATCTACCCATCCAGCAAATAGATTTCTCTGTTTTCCTTTTGCTCGTCTATCTATCTATTCATCTATCTATCTATCCATTTGTCTGTCTCTCTGTCTGTCTCTCTGTCTGTCTCTCTGTCTGTCTATCTATCGATCCACCTATCTCGCTATCAACCGACCTATATGTCTGTCTATCTATCACGTATCTATCCATTTACCTTTCTATTTACCTATCGATGTGTCTATATATCTATCCCTGTGTCTGTGTCTCGTGTTATCATTGTTTTTGTTGTATCTATGGGTCTATGTATCTACATATCATTCATCTATCTCTCTACTGTTGTATTTGTATATCTCTCTCTGCTTTATCTATGTAACTATCTATGCAACTATCTATCTATCTATCTATCTATATATCTATCTATTGATCTATCTATCTATCCATCTGTCTATCCATCTATATCAATCTACAAGTCTATCTACTGTATGTATTGGTCTATCTATCTACATATCTGTTTTGATCTAATCATCAATATCCATCTATCTATCTATCTATCTATCTCTCTATCTATCTATCTATCTATCTATCTATCTATCTATCTATCTATCTATCTATCTATCTATCTATCTATCTATCTATCTATCGTTCTCTCACTCTCTCTCTGCGGTATCTATGTATCTATATATCTGTCTGTCTGTCTATGTAACTATGTATCTGTGTTTATTTGTATCTTTGTGTATTTGTATCTATGTATCTATCTGTGTAATCTATATATCTGTGTAATCTATATATCTATCTATCTATCTATCTATCTATCTATCTATCTATCTATCTATCTATCTATCTATCTATCTATCTATCTATCTATCTATCTATCTATGTTTCTATCTATCCACTTTCCAGATTTCCATCTTGCTATCTATTTGTCTACTCTATCTATCTGTCTATCTATCTATTTGTCTACATGTTCTTTTTTATTCATCCCATTCTTTCTCTTTTTCTCGCTCTTGTGTCTATCTATCTATCGATTGTTCTTTCTATCCATCCACTATTTTAACCTCTATCTCTATCTCTCTCTATCTTTATCTATCTATCTATCCATGTGTCTATCTGTTCTCTCTGCGTCTATCCTTTGATCTGTCGACTGTTCAGATGTCTAATTATTTATTTATCTATCTATTTATCGGCTCTATCTACCTATCTATCCATCTATCTATCGACCTTGTGAAAGTGATGCGCCTCTTACGAAGTCTGTACCTGACCATGCGACCGTGCTGTGCCTGCCGCCAAATCCGCACCTAGCCTTGCGAAACTGCTGTGCCTGCCGAGAAATCTATGCCTGACGTCACGAAAGTGCTGCGCCTACCACGAAACCTGCAATTACCAGAGCTAGCTGCGCCTGCCACGAAATCCACACCTGACCTTGCGAGGGTGCTGCGCCTGCCACGACATGTTTTCGTGACCCACCCCGCGAAAGTAATGTCGGGCCCTTCCACAAAATCTGTGCCTGACCTTGCAAAAATTCGCGAAATCTGCACCTGGCCTGGCAAACTGCTGCGCCTGCCACGATTTCTGTACCTGACCTTGCGAAAACGCCGCGCCTGTCACGAAATCTGTACCTGACTTTGTGAAAGTGCGGCACCTGCCACGCATTTAGAGCCCTTGCAAAACCTTCAGCCGCACGGCGCCGCCGCACCCGCGCCAGACAGGCGTCGAGACAGAGTGGTTGACATCGACGCAGACCCGCCAAAACGCGGACAGAATCTATCTTTCTCGCGATGTCTATTCCCCCAAAACGCGCCCACGCATGTTTTCTCGCATCCTCATGCTTTCTTCATCTTATTTGTGCTCAGGCTACCTTTCACTTAGTGTCCATACCACGGAAGTTCCTTCTAAACCTCCTTTGATAACCATGGTGGTTATCCTCGGAAGACGACCTGGAAAGTGCATAAACTTTGGTTTTACGTTTGGGAGTGTGCCTTGTTTGAATTTAACTCCCTTGAGTTGATGCTTTTCCTCGTGGGCTCCCGCACTTTGAGAAGCCCACGAGGTTTCGTTGGTTTTCGGATGGGTTCCTCATAAGCTTGGGGCTGGGAAAAGCCCAGCCCACCCTGCTATATTGGATGATTGTATCACACCGGAGTCAAGCTTAGCCTCTTGAAAATCTGCCGTGAGCTCGACAGGTGGATGCCGAGACCTGGCAAAAGTGGAAGCAAGTGCTGGACATGCTGGAGGTGCACGGTGAGGTTGACAAGCAGCATCTCCTAACGACCAGAACCTCGTGCCAACTAACCGGGAACCCCTCGGATCGTCGTTTGCTTTGTGTTCGGGTAAAACGAGTTTTTGCCACCGGGGTGGACGGGCGAAAAGCCACGATGAAGGCCCTTTGCATGTTGCAGCCTTCGTGCTGGCATTGGGTTCATGAAAGTGGCCTGGCAAGGGCTTCAAACTTGCTTCGGGGGACGGTTCCCTTTACACCACCATCTAGAATTTGAGGCTGCCACTTTTAGTTCTAGGGAACCTATTTGCATTACCCGGGGTCCCGCTGAAAGCATATCAACTGGCACCACGTCAAACAAACATCACTCAACGCATCCTGCAACTCAAAGAGAACCGCATTGCACAATGACGGAGCCCATCCAAGAAAACCACACAGACTTGCGGGGTTGGCCCGCCCTGAGTGGGGCCAGGTAAACTCCCCAATCAAACATAGACTACGCTAGTTGGGGAGTATTTGCGGATACCCAAACGTCAGCTCCGTGATCGGACACGAGCGCATGTTGACCCAGGATTTTTGATAGGAGGTGTTCCATTTAAGATGAGCATTGAGGCAACCATGTAAAAGTGACAAAGCATTACCCAGTTCAGTATCACAGCAAGAGCCGTTTTTTCAAAGACAAAGTGGGTCCGGACGTTCTAAGACTGCCCGCTGTTGTGGGACGCGAAACGGAAGCCACTTGAGTTTGAGGAGAACAAGTGTCAAAGTACAAGTATCTCAAGGCCAGCATTGCAGCATAAGACCTCAAAATAGCTTCGGGCGTTATCTAGCAAGAGGGTAATATGTTTATTTGATTGCCTGACCACTAGACCAGTCCTTGGCCTGTTTCTGCTCGTGCAGGGCACTCGACGCATTTCAGCCAGCTTCATAAATTATTGATTTGCGCTCCTGCAATACGTCAGTAAACTTGTTCCTGGCGAAGAAAACCTGAAAGGCCAACAAGGCAACGAGAGTCCAATGTAATCCACATAGCCGATATCACGATCCGCGAAATCGCTGAGCAGCATCTCGTCAGACCTCGTCCAGAATAAAGGCAGAAGGTGCACAGGCTTTGACCCCCCCCCAAGCAAAAAACACCTGCATCAATCACTGTATTTTCAGCTTTCTTGATTGAGGGATCCTCAAGTACAAGTAAAGCTTCTTTGTCGTGGGTAAGCTCAACTAACACGTAATTAGTTAAATCCGTTTGGTCAAGGTGAACAAGAGGTTTGGCCAGTTGCTGGGGCGCTGAATAGTACAGAATGTTGATTTCCTCGAGAGGACACCAAACGGGGGGCTCGATGATTTTGCATTTTTTTCCAGACCGCACATGTATATATAGCACACACCGTGTTGGGAGACAGCATTGCATTTCAATCCAGCATGTCATGTTATCAGTTATCAGGAATCGATGCTTAATACAGGGTGTCCAATTTTTAGCGGCAAACTTTATATTTGGGGAATTCCGCATTCACCGCAGCTTGCAGCCTTAGGCTCCCCGCATGTTAGTTTCCTTTATGTTTTGTTGGGGTTGGTTCCTTTCGGGCCGGTTCGGGGTGATGGCTCAAGAGGATAGGCACCTCCGCTTGGTTTGTTACGTGCCCAAGTATGCCCGAGAGACATAAACGCAAGCCGTATTTGTGTTAAGTTGATTTGTGCGTGGAAGGGTAAGTCACCTTTCCTCTCAACATAGGATTTGTGGGAGGGTAGGGCTGTTGAACATCCGTGGACGCATCTTCGCAATGGATGTGTCTGCCTCTTTATATGTACCCCAATGTGATACAAGCCCATGATTTTGTTCTGGCGAGCTCACCTGGTAAAACGCGTTCACCATGACAAAGCTCCCTTGCTTGAATTTATTGGATAAATTGCAGTTAGATAAATTGCAGATGAGTTCTGCGACGGAAGCGCGCCTATTGAGCCCAGGACTGATATGTCCAGACGTGTTGGACTACATGCTGCTTGCTCTGCATGTGGGGGTGTTGTGCTTTCATGCTCGGTATCCTTTAGAAAGTGTTTTAAAGCCAAAGTCGAAGCGAAGCACCCAGGTTAAGTGAGAGTCTTCCTATTTTGACACACACACACACACTGTGCGTGTGTGTGTGTGTGTGCGTGCTTCCATGCATGGGTGTGTGTGTGTGTGTGCGTGGGCGCGTGCGTGCTTGCGTGCGGGCCTGCGTGAGCGCGTGAGCGCAGGCTGGCGGGTGCGCGCACGAGTGCGGGCGGGCATGCGGGCGGGCATGCGGGCGCGCGGGCGTGCGCAACACAACAATTCGGGTGGGAGAGTGCGCGTTTGTATACGCGTTCTGTGTGTGTGTGAGAGGAAAGAGAGAGGATACGATCGGCATATGTTGGTTGGAACGCGCACAGCTAAGCATCACAATATTTCACATAATACATATTGATGTACATACTTGGTCGGTGAGTGGGCCGCTGAGGAGAAATTGACATCGCTGCATTATATGTACATACCCGTAGAGCCGGCGAAGCCGGGGGGGGAGGGCCGGGAGGGGAGACGTTTTAATTATATACGAACGATAGTGCTCTTTATCTTTATTTGTTATGTTGCTACTTTTTTGTCTTTCCTGTTGTTTATATATATATATATATATATATTTATCCTTCTTTAATTATCTTGTATGTTGACTGTCTTATCTTTCATTGCTCTTTATCTCTTCAGTGTCTTTCTCTGTATCTTATGGTTATTTATCTTCATTGTTTGTTCTCTTCTTTCTGTCGTTGTATCTATCTTCTAATTAGTCTGTCTGTCTGTCCGTCTATCTAACCGTTTCCAACCGAATGCAATCTGATCCAATGTAATCTAATCCAATGTAATCTTGGTGATCTATCGATCTATCCATCTATCCATCTATCGATCTATCTATCTATCTATCTATCTATCTATCTAATCTATCTGTCTACCTATCTATCCATCTATCTACCTATCTCTTTGAATCCATCTGTTTATTTTTAGATCTTGTGCAAGCTCTCGCGAAAATACTGTGCCTGCCACAGCACCTGAACCTGACCTTGCGCCAGTGCTGCGCCTGCCACAAAGTCTGTACCTCACCTTGCGAACGAGCCAAATCATTCACGCACAGGGCCACGTTTTCGGCTCATGCATTGCCCAGTTCTCGCATTTGCTATGTTTCTTCATGTTTTTCACGCGCTTGGCATCTATTCTTAGAGAACACTCACGGGCACATGTAGTCTTTTAGGGACAACTGGCTCATTTCGTTCCAGCAGTGCTGAAGTGTTGGGTAAACTTCCTTGGTTATGCAGATACAGAGATGTATACATATGTACACATACACATATCGTGCACGTACAGCATACAGTCATATGCCACAGATACATACACATCAAGTGTTTACTGATGTGCACACATCTACCGATCACACATGGCTTATCGCTTACTTGCAGTATGCACGCACATAAACAGATACGAAGACATACCGAACACGTGTACAGTACATGAGTCACACACATACACGCACACTCCCTCGCATGCATATCGTCTACATACCTATTTGATAAGTTTAAACACACACACACACATATCACATATATGCACATCCCGCAATTGAGGTATGATTTACAACATCTTGGCGTATGACTTTCTTTTCACATACCATTCGGGCACATATCACGTCACTTCCGATGCTAAGCAGCCCAACATTGTCCAGTTTACGAAAGGAAGCCCACATTTGATAGCTGTTTGGCTATTTTTGCCAAAGCCCGCAGCTTAAGCCACCGTCGTTCTGTGCAATGTCTACGCCAGTGTTGGAACTTGTTGATTCCGCTCCCATGATGTCGGAGCACTTAGAAGGGCCAGCTTGGTGCCCTTTGATTAATTGAGATGTGAAACCACCCCCCTTCTTGTGATCGAAACGCCCAACCCAGACGCGGAACGCGGGACGCGCTCTGAGATTGGAGCTTGTGGACCCTGAGAGCGAGAAGCTCACGAGGGGCAAGTTCCTGAAAGCTATGCCTGGCTGCCCAGAGACGTCATCGGGGCCCCGGGACGGCCCGGGGGACCTAAGTACGCCTACGTAATGTAAGGATTGGTCTATTTGGGGGGACGGTGTGGCCCCGAATGCCCGCCAGATAATGAAATTTATGATTTTGTGTGGCTTAACAAGTACTTGCCTGCTAAGCTTCCAAACTTTGAAGACTTGTTGGTAGGGTTTTTTCATCATACAAGAGAGTTGATTTTTTTTCGGAGTAGTCAACTCAACAGGTCAGGGCAAAGTAAGGTGTGGTTTGAGTGAGTGGTGAAAGGGTCCCAATGAAGGGGTGCCGGCCGAATGAAGGATTCCATACATTTTCTTTGAGTGTGATGGAGGGTGGCCCCAAGTTTCTCCCAGGTGGTCGTAAGGGACAAGTAGACGAAGGCCCACAAAGCAACTGCTTTCTTGGTGGGAGGTTGCGCTTTACATACGATGTCTCAAAGTGCTGCAGCAAACTCGAACAGCCGACTTTCCTAGTTTGTAGACTTCATACCAAGGCCTTGTCAGTGGTAAACACTTTGGACTTGATTGTCAGTACACTCAGGACGTGAGACAGGATATGCGTTCCATGACAAGTCCTATCTGCCAATTTCGTTGTCTTTTGCGGATGGCGTTTTGGATTCGAGTTTGGCCACGGGCAATGCAAAACGAGTGCATAGTTCGCTAGACAAGGGTTGGTTCGTTAGAGGTACGGTGGGAGTGAAAGTAGAGCGTTTGCTTTTGCTAAAGGCCAATTTGGTACGGGCCGTTTCGGCAATGAATCTAACTGTTTGGGCAATGCAACGCGGCCACCTGCCTTGAATGTTGTGCGCGCCTCTTTGTTGCACCACCAACTCCCCCAAAGACTCCTGCTGGGCAAGTTGATTGGCTTGTGGCATGCTGTCGTCTCGAGTTGCTTCCCTTGGTTGACATCATGGAACTCTGCAACAGGTCCCTCCTGAACGTCTGGAGCCACATATTGAAGGAACCCTATAGAGGCTTTTCAGTACAGTGGTTCAAGAGCCAGGGCCCAGGGCCCTGTTGAACGGAACGACAACAACAACGACAATCACAACGACAACAACAACGACAATGACAACGACAACCACAACCACGACGACAACCACGACAACGACAACGCCGACGACGACGACGACGACCACAACAACAACAACAACAACAACAACAACAACAACAACAACAACAACAACAACAACAACAACAACAACAACAACAACAACAACAACAACAACAACAACAACAACAACAACAACATCCAACAACAACAACAACAACAACAACAA